CATTGCAGGAGTGGTGAAGAGACAGGAGGAGTTTTACAAAGGATACACGAATGCTGCAAACATTAAGACTGTCTATGATATAGTAGCACAGCATGGCATGGTGAGGGTCCCTAATTAATAACCAATGGGATTTATGGTGATCTATTCATTCCTGTACAATAATGTAATAAAACTTCTACTTACAGCCTACTGATTTTTACGGAGGGACTTGTGGATTTACCAATACCCAATACATCAACAACTGCAATTACAATGGTGCCTACGAGGCCTTGAACCACATCTATGGTGGGCTCCAGGTGAGATGGGACTCACATGATATATACATGATCGGGATCCTGTCATCCATCTCATGATTTCATGTAAATGTATAATTTGATAAAGCAGCATGCATCATAAACAACCGCCATCTTTTTACATTTTACAATATTAGTTTTAACCTTATTTCCATCCTTTGTTGCATCTCAGTGAAGCTGATCTCCTGATGATCCTTTGCAGTCACTTCCTGTCTACATGTACTCCAGCAATGGCTGCATGTTATTTCTCAGGGTGGGGTTTCCAGATAGCGAGAACAGTGGCCAAGAGCCGTGCCTGCGTGTTATGTGTTGAAATGGCCACTTGTGGTCTCCATCAGAAGCCCATGTGACACGGTGTAAATGAAGGAGCACCATTGGAAAACAAGGATGGACTGTTGTCACAATGTAACAGGAAGTGCTTGTACAATGACCTTCATGGAAAGATTAACCACATGGAAGAACAATATATTTGAAATATATTTTAAAAATATCCTTCCCAAATATATTGACATATATTTAAAATACTACAGTTTTGGCCATATTCAATATATTTCAAAATATATTTTATATATATATATATATATATATATATATATATATATATACAGTGGGGATCGAAAGTTTGGGCACCCCAGCTAAAAATTTGTATTAATGTGCATAAAGAAGCCAAGGAAAGATGGAAAAATCTCCAAAAGGCATCAAATTACAGATTAGACATTCTTATAATATGTCAACAAAAGTTAGATTTTATTTCCATCATTTACACTTTCAAAATAACAGAAAACAAAAAAATGGCGTCTGCAAAAGTTTGGGCACCCTGCAGAGTTAATATCTTGTACTGCCCCCTTTGGCAAGTATCACAGCTTGTAAACGCTTTTTGTAGCCAGCCAAGAGTCTTTCAATTCTTGTTTGAGGTATCTTTGCCCATTCTTCCTTACAAAAGTCTTCCAGTTCTTTGAGATTTCTGGGCTGTCTGTCATGCACTGCTCTTTTAAGGAAAACATAGATTTTCAATTATGTTGAGGTCAGGAGATTGTGAAGGCCATGGCAAAACCTTTAGTTTACGCCTCTTGATGTAATCCCCCGTGGATTTCGAGGTGTGTTTAGGATCATTATCCATTTGTAGAAGCCATCCTCTCTTTAACTTCAGCTGTTTCACAGATGGCATCAAGTTACCATCCAAAATTTGCTGAAATTTTATTGAATCCATTTTTCCTTCTACTCATGAGATGTTCCCTGTGCCACTGGCTGCAACACAACCCCAAAGCATGATTGATCCAACCCCATGTTTAACAGTTGGACAGAGGTTCTTTTCATTAAATTCTGTGCCCCTTCTTCTCCAAACGTACCTTTGCTCATTCCGGCCAAAAAGTTCAATTTTAACCTCATCGGTCCACAGAACTTGTTTCCAAAATGCATCAGGCTTGTCTATATGTTCATTTGCAAAGTTCAAACGATGATTTTTGTGGTGAGGACGTAGAAGAGGTTTTCTTTTGATGACTCTTCCATGAAGACCATATTTGTACAAGTATCTCTTTATAGTCGAATAGTGTACCACAACTCCAGTGTCTGCCAGATCTTTCTGGAGGGATCATGTAGTCAAACGTGGGTTTTGAATTGTTTTTCTCACAATCCTGCGAGCTGTTCTGTCTGATATTTTTCTTGGTCTTCCAGATCTTGCTTTAACTTCCACTGTTCCTGATGACTGCCATTTCTTAATTACATTCCGAACAGAGGATATTGACATCTGAAAACGCTTTGCTATCTTCTTATAGCCTTCTCCAGCTTTGTGAGCGTCAACTATTTTCAGTTTCAGTTTTCTAGACAACTGCTTAGAAGAACTCATGGTGCTGATTGTTGGGGCAAGGTCAGATGAGTCTGGGCATTTAAAACCTTTGAGATTGACATCAACTGGTCTTCCCAGATGATGAGTGAGAACAATCCATGACACTGGCAGGTCTCAGCTTGGCAAAGGGGGCAGTGCATGCTATAATTTCTGCAGGGTGCCCAAACTTTTGCAAACGCCATTTTTTTGTTTTCTGTTATTTTGAAAGTGTAAATGATGGAAATAAAATCTAACTTTTGTTGACATATAAGAATGTCTAATCTGTAATTTGATGCCTTTTGGAGATTTTTCCATCTTTCCTTGGCTTCTTTATGCACATTAATACAAATTTTTAGCTGGGGTGCCCAAACTTTCGATCCCCACTGTACTATATACAGATGCATTTCAACATGCAGTGTATATATATATATATATATATATTTAGATTGTAAGCTCCACGAGCAGGGCCCTCATATTCCTTCTGTACTGAAATGTATTGTAATTGTACTGTCTCGCTTATATTGTAAAGCACTGCGCAAACTGTTGGCGCTATATAAATCCTGTATATTAATATTAGATATACTGCAAGTTGAAATGCATTTTTTATATATTACAAAATATATGTTTTGTAAATGCACAATATTTTTCATGTATTTTGTACTAAAACGCATTTCAACATGCAGTATATATATATATATATATATATATATACAGTGGGGATCGAAAGTTTGGGCACCCCAGCTAAAAATTTGTATTAATGTGCATAAAGAAGCCAAGGAAAGATGGAAAAATCTCCAAAAGGCATCAAATTACAGATTAGACATTCTTATATGTCAACAAAAGTTAGATTTTATTTCCATCATTTACACTTTCAAAATAACAAAAAAATGGCGTTTGCAAAAGTTTGGGCACCCTGCAGAAATTATAGCATGCAATGCCCCCTTTGCCAAGCTGAGACCTGCCAGTGTCATGGATTGTTCTCACTCATCATCTGGGAAGACCAGTTGATGTCAATCTCAAAGGTTTTAAATGCCCAGACTCATCTGACCTTGCCCCAACAATCAGCACCATGAGTTCTTCTAAGCAGTTGTCTAGAAAACTGAAACTGAAAATAGTTGACGCTCACAAAGCTGGAGAAGGCTATAAGAAGATAGCAAAGCGTTTTCAGATGTCAATATCCTCTGTTCGGAATGTAATTAAGAAATGGCAGTCATCAGGAACAGTGGAAGTTAAAGCAAGATCTGGAAGACCAAGAAAAATATCAGACAGAACAGTTCGCAGGATTGTGAGAAAAACAATTCAAAACCCACGTTTGACTACATGATCCCTCCAGAAAGATCTGGCAGACACTGGAGTTGTGGTACACTATTCGACTATAAAGAGATACTTGTACAAATATGGTCTTCATGGAAGAGTCATCAGAAGAAAACCTCTTCTACGTCCTCACCACAAAAATCATCGTTTGAACTTTGCAAATGAACATATAGACAAGCCTGATGCATTTTGGAAACAAGTTCTGTGGACCGATGAGGTTAAAATTGAACTTTTTGGCCGGAATGAGCAAAGGTACGTTTGGAGAAGAAGGGGCACAGATTTTAATGAAAAGAACCTCTGTCCAACTGTTAAGCATGGGGTTGGATCAATCATGCTTTGGGGTTGTGTTGCAGCCAGTGGCACAGGGAACATCTCACAAGTAGAAAGAAAAATGGATTCAATAAAATTTCAGCAAATTTTGGATGGTAACTTGATGCCATCTGTGAAACAGCTGAAGTTAAAGAGAGGATGGCTTCTACAAATGGATAATGATCCTAAACACACCTCGAAATCCACGGGGGATTACATCAAGAGGCGTAAACTGAAGGTTTTGCCATGGCCTTCACAATCTCCTGACCTCAACATAATTGAAAATCTATGGATAGACCTTAAAAGAGCAATGCATGACAGACAGCCCAGAAATCTCAAAGAACTGGAAGACTTTTGTAAGGAAGAATGGGCAAAGATACCTCAAACAAGAATTGAAAGACTCTTGGCTGGCCACAAAAAGCGTTTACAAGCTGTGATACTTGCCAAAGGGGGCAGTACAAGATATTAACTCTGCAGGGTGCCCAAACTTTTGCAGACGCCATTTTTTTGTTTTCTGTTATTTTGAAAGTGTAAATGATGGAAATAAAATCTAACTTTTGTTGACATATTATAAGAATGTCTAATCTGTAATTTGATGCCTTTTGGAGATTTTTCCATCTTTCCTTGGCTTCTTTATGCACATTAATACAAATTTTTAGCTGGGGTGCCCAAACTTTCGATCCCCACTGTATATATACAGTATATTTGAAATTTATTTTTAAAAATATTTTTCATATATTTGTGTATATATATATATATAAATTGAAATACATTTTGAATATATTGAATACATTTTGGTATTTCAAATATGTCGATATATATTTTAGGAAGTATTTTTAAAAAAGTATATTTTTAAAAATATTTTTCATATATTTTGTAATATATAAAAAAAAATGCATTTCAACATGCAGTGTTATATATATACTGCATGTTGAAATGCATTTTTTTATATATAACAAAATATATGAAAAATATTTTTTTTTTTTAAATTTTTTTTAAAATATATTCTTCAGATTTATTTTAACATATAAAAAAGTAATTGTAACATATATTTTTACATATATTTGTAAATGCATTCCAAAAATGTAGATTTGTATTTTTAAAGACATACAGTATATTTGAAATGTATTTTTAAAAACATTTTTCATATATTTTGTAATAAAAATGTATTTCAACATACAGTATATATATATGATGCGCACTGATAGGCGGCACTGACTGGCACTGATAGGCGGCACTGACTGGCACTGATAGGCGGCACTGATTGGCAGCACTGATAGGTGGCACTGATTGGCACTGATAGGTGGCACTGACTGGCACTGATGGGTGACACTGAAAGGCAGCTCAGATGGGCACTGATATATGGCATTGATGTGCACTGGTAGGCACTGACATGGTGAAATTGATGTGGCACTGATGGGCACTGGCACATGGCACTGATGAGTACTGACAGCTGGCACTGATGGACACTGACAGGTGGCACTGCTGGGGCTACACAGATCATCAGGGCACACTGATCATCAGTGCCCTGATGATCTGTGTACATGTCCCCTCCGAGGAATGCTGATTACCGGCTCTCCTCTCGAGCTGTCAACGTGACAGCTCGAGAGGAGAGAAATGCCGATAACCAGCATTTCCCTGTTTACATGTGATCAGCTGTGATTGGACACAGCTGATCACATGACCGAGCCGACATCTTCGGCTCTTTCCATGGATCGGTGATCCGCTGTGTCCGAGGGACACATCGCACCACCGATCACCGCGCTGTGCACTCCGGGAGCCGCACATGCGCGGTTAGAACGAGAGAACCACCTTACTATATGGCGGGCGGGAGGTGGTTAAAGTGGTATTAAGCTCTAATTTTTAAAATTGGTAATAGGTAGGGTTTATATCACAGAAGAGACTCTATGGGGGAGATCTACTAAAGCTGGTTCACTCAGAATCTGGTGCCGCTGTGCATGGTAGCCAATCAGCTTCTAACCTCAGATTGTTCAGTGAAGCTTTAGCAATAAAACCTGGAAGCTGATTGGTTTCTACGCAGAAGTGCATGAGATTCTGAGTGAACCAGCTTTAGTAAATAAACCCCTATTGGTATCTTCTGTCATAGAGGCACCTCCTACCTGTCAGCTGTCATATACACTAAGGCTGGCCATATATTATACAATTTTCTTGAGATTTTTGGTTTAGATTTACCAAAAACCATATAATAGGAGGTCAAACCTAAACACTTTTAATTGTATCCAATTAGGCAGGCCCTTGCACTACATAGTTGAAGGTAAATCTAAAGGAAACTGGGCAGAAATTGGACAGAAAATTGTATAATGTATGGCCAACATTAGACTCGCATACATTGCTTAGAGTACATGTACAGCAGTGATCTGTGCTGTGGGGATGTGAATCCCATGCTCAAGCACAGTGTGACACAGTGGTGTATTTAGGTTTTGTGCTGCCCTAGGCAACACAAAAAGCGGATGCCCTCCCTGACAGACAGAGCCTGACACTGACCAACACCAGCCCCCTCCTCCCCTAAGGAGAGAGCCTGACATTGACCAACAACATCCCTGCCTTCCACTAACCCCCCCCCCCCGGGATCCCGCAGCCTCTCTCGGATCCCACCTGGTCCCCATGCCACATATGTCCACTCTTCTTCTTCTTCTTCAGTGCTGCCCCCCTAAAAGATGCCGCCCTAGGCAAATGCCTTGTTTGCCTTGTAGTAAATATGCCCCTGGTGTGACATCACATTGGCCTGGCCATTCAAGTGGCCAAAGAGACAAAGGAAGACTGATTGAAGATGGAAGTTCACGGGACCCGAGGGACTGGTCACAGTGCAGTGCTGGAGGACACATTATGACAGGTAAGCTGTGCCTAATATGTATTTTAATACTACTTTAAATCCAACAAATGAAAGGAGCAGGCCAGGGAGTCAGGTAGGTGAGGAAAGGGTGAGATGCTGCTGGACATCCTAAACCAGAAAATGAGGTGGGCTCTGACTGTAGTTTCCTTTTTATAAATTCTTTACTGAATATGGTTTTTATTGCACACTGTGTGAAACTCACATTGTGCAGTGAAATCAGAGTAAACGATTTCAGGGCAGGAGTCGATCCTGTACAACAGTTCACGACTAAAGGTAAGGTTGGAGGTAAGCTTAAATGTAACTGACTTACACTTCTCTTTTACTTCCAGAAACCAAGCCCTGGAGCAGCTCTTACTGGAGAGGTAAGAGAAATACTTTGCAAACAATTAAAGTGGAATGCCAACCAAAACAAAGAAACATTTTGGGGAAGGGTTAGACCCAGGGGCGGACTGACAACTCATGGGGCCCCCGAGCAATAGGGGATCATGGGCCCCTGTGTCCTTGCCCAAACTCAAAAAAGCCTATGAAAAAGGCAGACCTACATTTTAACCAAAGAGTTCTCCGCATATTTCACAGAGATTACACTCATTTTGAAAACTAGAAAAGCCATCCACATAATATTGTAAGGCAGAAAGAATAAGCTCTCAGTGTTCGAATGCTACAGGATTAGTGAGAATAGCAGCAGCATCCTCTGACATGGGTTTAATCCATTCCTCTAGGCAGGGTTTGACATTACAGCAATGGTAGCCTGCACAGCAGGATCAGCTAGGGAAAACAGATATTTGGAAAGCACTACTAAAGTACAGTTAGTGTTTTATTTAGACGAGAAATAGCAGAGACTGTAGTGAGAACATCCTACCTCTAAAAAAAAGTCTTGTTAAATAGGTATTCTGGATAACCTGTGGATAATAGCAGCTGAATGCTGTTCCTCAGGAGTAGGCTCCTCCATTAGGGATTTGTGAAACTCCTCATAAAACAAGCAATCTGCAGTGAAAGGCTTAGAATCGGCAAAAGCTGCATTCGTGTCAGATAAGGATTTTGGAAGGTGTAAAAGTACTTTCTCTATATTTGGATTCAACAATCGAAGTACCAACTTTTTGCATAAAATCCTGCAAGGTTGCAGAAAACCCCCTCCCTGGATAATGCAGAGGATGGTGCCATGCCCGATGGAACCAGGGTGGAGTTCTAGGTAGTCTTCAGTAGGAGACAATGGTCCAGGTCCAGGCCTGTTAGTGGATCGAGACAATGGAGAAGCCTAAAACAGCAGGACCAATTCCTTGTACTTGAGATCCAACAGGTACTACTGCCAACAAGAACATCTGCATAGGGAACACCTGGTAAAAACCTTGGTTACTTGTAAGCAGGTTGTAATGCTGGTTTAGTAAATTAGCAGCTGGCCCATGCTGAGGATAAAGAGTTAAGTTATGTGTGCTCAGTTCGTGGGCTTTTGTGTCCCAGCCAGCCCACTTGTGATATAAAAAGGGGAAATGCTTAGATCCCAGGCCGATTTTTCCCCTTCTTGGCTTGAATTGTGGCAGGGCCTGCTGCGCCTTGCAGTCCGTGGAAGGCATCGGGGTTCTGGAAGACATCCAAGCAATGAAGACTACCTGCATGGAATACCACCTCATAGAGGTATGCCTGGGCAGCCACACAACTGTAGTTAGGATTAGGGATTGGACTTGGTCATAGTGGGCTGTAATGTTGACGTTTCTTCAGTAAAGTTACATTAACTGTTCTGAGCCTGGTCTGCAGTTATTCAAAGGGGTCCATATTGGCTCTGGTGTATCTAAAGAACCAGGGTCTGTAAAGCACAAAGGGTATGAAGTAATACCATGCAAATAGGGTTAATGCAGCAAGTTAAGAGAAAGTAAGGCCGTTGCTAAGAGTAACCAAGCACAGTTCAAGACAAAAAAGCAAACTGTTGTTAGGCATGGTCAGCATGCATGTTACTGATAGTGAGATAACAGTGGTATGCTGGACTGGTGGAGTGGGCGCAGGCACTGCCCATCCCTCCTAATGCAACAACTAATAAAGTTACAGTGTGTGGTGACATGGGACACCATGTTTCAGAGGAACTCTGTATTTTTACTGCACACAGTGAAAGTCAGGGAACTGTCTTAATGTTAGATTTTCCACATGACCACAGCCTCTGCCTGGTCCCGGGCATTGATGAGCATGCCTACAACAAGCAAAGTTACCCCACATGCATGGATGACCGTAGGCCTCGCACACATACTCACAAAACTGACTGCAAAATCAGAAGGGATTAATGGATAGAGGTGACTCAGTTAATGTAGGTGGCAGCAAGGTTTATCTGAGGTATAAACCATGAGTCACTTGCACTGGAAACAAACCCCACAAACTAGCCCTCATGCACACAGGATGTTTTGATAATGCTGGTAATGTTAGCTCTGTAAAGTCATGTTAAAAACGTGAGTTTTTCAGCTTTTGTTTAGCATTTTTGCATTAGCGTTTAGCGGCGTTTTGCCAAATTGAGCAGCGTTTTTCCATGTTTGTGTTTTTTTAGCATTTTTTTTTTTTACCAAAAAAAATTTTTTTTTAAAAAAAAAGTCCAAAAACACCAGTTTTCAGCATTTTACTGTGTTATGCTGCATTTTTTCAGCATTAGAGTGTTTTTACAGCTAAAAAACTCCCCTAGAAACCCACTAGTACTGGGGTTTTTTTCCCAGCCAAAAAACGTTGATTTCAGTCTATATGTGCATGGACACATAGGATAACATGCTGGGGGGATTACTGACTGTAGAAAAAAATGTCAAAAGCCAAAAACAGCCGCTGTAAAAACGTCCAGTGTGCGTGAGGACTAAAAAGCAGTACCATAGTAAGGTAAGGATGCATGCACATAGGAGTAGTGAAGCAGCACATAATTCCTGAGCATGTTAACCCTTTCCATGGAGAAGCATAATAGGAGTTCAGAAAAAGTTTTTTTCTCCCTGGGGTTAGCTTGTAATAACAGAGCATAAGTAACCTTCTTTTCTGTTCTCCCCATCGAATTCAATGGTCTCCACCTTGTCTCTCTTCTAGCTGATTCTGTTTGACCAGTCAGAATTTTTTAAGCCAACTTCCCCCTCCACCTACGGAATGGATACTGCTGGATATATTTATGTCCCTGCTTCCTGCCAGAGTGGAGTACGTAAGTAAAGCCTTTGAATTGTTGACTCCCAGCAAACCAACTTAAATAGAGCCAGCCACCAATGGGCACCTATAATAATCTGAATGTCCATTACTGAATTGGTGTAGCCATACCTCCCAGGAATGCATTACTCTTTACTTGCATTCTCTTTTTCAGACCAGAAGGCTGTTCTTTTCCAAGCTAGCCTTAGTGCCAATAAAAACACTCTAATTCTAACTGTTAGATTTTCATGATAGAATACAAATGCTTTTTTTAGTAGCCAGTTTTACCCTCTTCCAATATTCCAACAAAAAATAATTACGCTACAGAAAGGGGTGAAGCTTGTGCAAAAAAGCAATACCAATTAGAACTGTTTGGGGCCATACAGTATTATGTCTGCATTTGGATACAATGGATCAGTCAGGAACACCAGCTAGGTAAGTGGCATATTTAGCTAGGCAATGAATGGATGAAAGTTAAAAGGAGTTTATGCTTTCTCTAAACCGCTATTCTAAAACCACTGAATTCAAACAGATGTGCAGTTTATCTTTATAATCTGTTTATCACTTTATGATATTTATTTCAGAATGCAGACTGCACATTGTATTCCATGGCTGTCTTCAGGCAAGGTAAGGCATTGCTTAAAGGAAAACATAAGTAGCTATTGGCCACTTTTCCACAAGTGTATAGACAAATGTTTTATATCCTTTCTATTTTTTGTATAAAATGTTTAATTTACATACAAAAAAATGAAATATCATAACGGGGCGGACTGACAACTCATGGGGCTCTCGGCCAATAGGGGATCATGGGGCCCCTGTGTCCTTGCCCAAACTCAAAAAAGCCTATGAAAA